GGACCCGCAGCACTCAAAAAGTGAAAGATGTCAAGGCAATCTCCACGATATGGGTTGATTCATGGTCTCTCAGCCTTTGCCCCTCAATAACATTCTTTACTTCCTCAGCCGCCACGCACACCGTCAAAACCCTCAGAATGGTTGGCAAACTTTATTTCATCAAAGCCAGTTTCTTGCGGTATAAATCTTTCACGTTGCTCATCACTCATAATTCTTCTCACCACTCCTTGAACCACACGCCTAAACGATCATCACCTCCTCCAAAGCCATGCAGGGACAACGCTCAGCAGGACTGATTACCCTCTGCGACATGTACCCTTTGGGAAAATACAGCCTAGCCGGGCTCTGCCCGCCAGCTATCTCTGCTTCAGGACGAAAGGGAGCTATTTCAGGCCCTTCGGGTAAGTGTTGTCGTTTGCTTCAAGTCTTAACAATGACTACCCCATTAATCCTGTTGCCAGTTTCTCCCATCACAGCGGCTGTAATGCAATCGGCCTCGAACGCACGCAAAGGGCTACAAGCTCCGATCTCCCCGTCCGGAAACAAGCGGGCGCGTGGCTCCAACGATGCTCGGGCCGCCGACAACCAACCCTCCAAACGTCAACGTCCTGAAGACTCGAGCACCTCAGCCTCCCAGCAACCCCAGCGTGTCCCTCCTCAGGTTATTACCGCCGCACCTCGGATAAAGGGAAACAAGCCCGTCGGGCCAAAGCCACGCAGGGCAAAGTGGGAGAAAGTCACCGTCTGCTCGGTCGATGTTGCAGCTACTGACGCCAGGGACAACAACCATACCCTCTTCACCGGCCAACTCCAATCTCTTCTCGCTCAAGCGTTCCCGCTTGGCCATATCAGATACCTCACCAACATCGACATGACCGATTGCTCACTTATGAAGGTGTCGGTCGACAGCACCACTCAGGGCAACGCCCCCTACAACCCCGATGAAGATCCCCATCAAGATTCCGGAGTTGAGTTTGCCGATGAAGGCTACTTGGATAACTCTAATAAAGAAGACGCCAATCGGACTCAGAGGGGGAACAAGACTGATTTCGTCCAGCCACCTCCGTGCTCTCCCGGCGATGCGTGCACACACGAAGAATATCTTCAAATTCGTGATGCAAACAAGGGAATCGATGATCAGGATCGTCGGCGAGAGAACACGCCTTCAACTCAGCCTGGCGAGCATCCCGATGATGGGCATACACGTGAAGTTTACCTCGGTGGTGGAGACGGGGCAACCGAAGAGGAGGAGCCTCGAGGGGAGAACAATACCTCAGTCCAGCCTGCCTACATCCCCAGCCAGTCCTCCTCGGCCGATCAGGCGGAGGCTTCGGCACCTGACTCCGCGTCGACGGAATATTTGGACTTTGAAACCCCTTCAAGCTCTTCAGGCTTCTCTATTCCTTGGCGCTCGCGACCTTCTAAATCGTTGGACGCCCCAACTTCCTCCTCAGAATTGGAAGACCCCGTTCAAATTGGCCGTGGCGGCAAACTCCAATTCATCGGGACCACTTCATCCGACTACCCGACCGACTCCGACTCGGACGCGGAAGATGACGAAACTGATTACGATTCCGACCAGACCGTGCTTACGGAAGTTTACCTCCCGGTCTCCAAGATGACTTCTAGTACTAGCAAGCGAGAGATGGAGACCACTGCCGTTAAAAAGGGTGTAACGCAGTTGCAAGTCGGCTTCGAAACTGGACGACGGAGGCAGGAAGAAGAATAACGAAAAGAAAGAGAAGGAAGAGGAAGCGGGTCTAAAAAAGGCTCATGCATCAGTTTTGGAGAATTAAGGATCGGGTAACAAAGTTCAAAGTTTCCGGGGGAGCGGACTTCTCGATCTGCGATGCAAACACATGAAGTGACGGCTGTAAGGCTGGAGAAAGCTGTTCGCGAATATATGATGACCAAAATAAGGGATGCATAACGCAAGCCAGCGAGGGAGAATTTTCAGTGGATGAGATTCTCGGCATCATGTACGGTGACGTTGAGATACAATGTATCTCACGTTTTACTTATTCACGCCCAACTTCTGGTGAAAAATGCCATTTTGATGCTCGGCATGATGAACTGGAGGGGTGAGATTCTCCCTACCCTCTCGTAGTACTACACATCAGATATAAGTAGATAGAAAAGAAGTATTGGCGACTGTCTAAATAGATAGCTCAGTCAACTCACAAAAGTTTCACCCTTTTTAGAAGTGCCACCGAGTAAGTGGCGTGTCTTTGATTCTGGGGGAGCTGCCCACGGAACCTTGTGCTAACAACATGATCAAGTGGAGTGTCGACAATATAAGATTCTGGAAGGAGCCACACCACAAAGGGCAAAGCTCGGATGATGCCCAGTCGCGACAATTCTTGGCTTGGGAGTTCGGCCACAAAAGTCAATATCACGCCTGTCCAGAAGGAACCTGGTTTCATTTCACCAACCCATCAAATGGAATCCTGAAAACCTAAAAACCCACCGACGCAAATGTCACCTTGCAATCCCCATCATCGTCATCACCATCATCATCATCGGCGAATTGCAGATCTTATTTGAGAGCCTGATTTCCGGCCGGTGGTGTTGAACATCTCGAGTTTCTTTTCTCCTACTACCTGTACTCTGGCATAACTCGTAAAACTCCCCAAACACCAAAATCATGAAGTTCTGCCCACCGTCATGGCGGTCCGCAGCCCGCATTCTCGCCATCCTCTCTGCCTTTCTACCCACCGCCGTCAACGCACAGAGCCTGGACGCGATCCTCTCCAAACAACCCAACCTCTCAACCTTCCGCGAGCTTGTCAAAACAAACGCCGGCATCTTCACCAACCTCCCAAAAGGCATCACCGTCGTGGCACCCAACGACGATGCCTTCAAGAGGATAGGAAACTGGGATCAAATGCGCGACAACTCAACCCTAGTCGCCGCCATCCTCAAGTACCACATCCTCCCAAAAGTCGTGTCCATGACCTCCATCATCAAAGGCGAATCCGCCTGGTCGTCCTCCCTCTTAACCGACCCGGCCTTCTCTACCGTCACGGGCGGACAACATCTCATCCTCACCAAACAGCCCGACGGCAAGGTCGTGTTCACCTCGGGCTTCGCAACCCGCGGCACGGTCCTGGCTGAAGACGTCAGCTTCGACAGCGGCCTCGTCCAAGTAATCGACGCCGTAATGCGCGTCCCCGAAAACCTCGAGCTCACAGCCCGCAACGGCTACGCCGACGACACCACCGCCTTCCTCGGCGCCCTCTTCGCTACCGGCCTGATGCAAGAGCTAATCAACAAGCAAACGGACCTCACAATCTTTGCGCCCCGCAATTCAGCCTTTCAGCACCTGGCCGGGTCGTTGGCAGGTCTCTCCGCTCCCGACTTGAAGCGCATTCTGGCATATCACATCATCCGGGGAAGTGTTTCCCACGCGTGGGAGCTTCAAAACGCCAGCTCCCTCGTCACGGCGGCGGCTGCTGCCAATGGAGAAAAATCGAGCGTGGCAATCACCCTGCACACCAATTTCATCTTTGTCAACTCGGCGCAGGTCATGCAGACGGATGTTTTGCTGTCCAACGGGGTGGTGCATATTATAGACAACGTGTTGGATCCCGATCAGGCGCGGGCGAGGCCGGACGTGAGCAAGGTTTCGCAGACGCCGGTTTTTAAAGCTCTAGGTACGCAGACCGAGACTGGGACGGGGTTGCCGACGCCGTTTGCCGAGAACATCCCTTGCACGGCGAGTTGTTCTCTTACTACCACCGTGACGGCTACGCCGAGCGTGTTGCCGATTGGTAGTGATGCCACCGGGGAGTCGCGGCCGAGTCAGGTCTCGAGCAATGCGGGGGTCGCGGCTGCTAGGTGTACCGGGTTTGCCGGGGGAGGGACGGTGGGGGTTGTTGGGATTGCCGCTGCGGGTGCTTTGATGGTTGGGTTTTGAGGGGAGGGGAGAGAGCGAGTGGTCATGGTTGTGGCTTACTTCTGTCGGCGGTTTGCGCCTGATACACTTTTTTGGACTCTGGTGGTTTTTGGCAGTTGTGGATGTGTAAATACGTGAACTTTATCTCGCATCATGCACAACTATAAACTTGTTCAACCTAAATACCCCAACGCGAGGACTCTTCCGTTCCTGCTGGTTCCCGTCATTATCACGCCGTTATAGAATCATCAAGTCACGTCCTCCTACCGTTCCACGTCAGCCAGCACCCACCACTGGTTAGTTACCCAGCCGAGTCATTTGACCCTACAGAATTCATCCACCCCCTTTCTTACACCTGGATTTCGGTTTGTAAAACGGGTGCTAATAAACACTAGGACGATCAGATAAACTGGGCGGTCATCCAGTGATTTTTTCATACTCCATTTCGTTGAGACGTCATTACATCCCACATCCATCCATTAAAAATGTGGGCAGACGACCTCCTCCCGCGCCCCCTCTGAGGCGGTTTTGCTATAGCAACGCTCGTCATGATTCTTCACGCTTTTTACTCTGGCAGAGTCCAACGGCAAGGGTGGAAGACTCAAGTCTGGTGTGCCTTTGTTGTTTTGATACTGCTTCCGGGGTTTCTTTTACGAGTGATGAGGGTTGGTTATGGTCTGAGTCAGTATTTGGAGTGAAGAAAGTTTTGGGGAAAGCGTGATGGAGTTCGGGGGGCAATATTATTTTTTATGAAGGTGTGGAACCTTTGATGTCGAAGTATAGACCTAGGCGTGATAAGCGTAATGGATTTTAGGGACGGAGGATGATGGGACAGCCTGAATATTCTGGGACGAACTGTTAATTAGATTAATCCCAACTATGAAATCCTGTCCAGAATGGGATGAACCACCCCTCAAATTAATGTTTTTCAAGGGCTTACGCTATAACTATACACAATTGGCAACATCCAACCCCTCAATTTTGATTTTGAGGGGTTTCGTGTCATTTCCCGGTGCTATATCAAACAAAAAGGGTGTTTATATATACCGCTACCACGCTACTGACCCCCAGCAATTCACTACAACTGGTGTCCACACCTGCGAAATCTTCCGTAGTATAGTGGTTAGTATATGAGCTTGTCACTTCAAACGCAGCAACGCTCGGGACCCGGGTTCAATTCCCGGCGGGAGAGTCAAATCACAGATTTACTGTTTTTGCAAGAGTAGTTCCACTTCAGGGGTGGGAGTCGGGGTATCCTTTCTTTGGTTGAGTATTTGGACTTTATTTTTGGATGTATTATTTCTTGCGGTATATGATTCTATTCTGTTCAACAGATGAAAATCAAGTGCTATGTTATGTTCCAAAGAGATAGATTCCCGAAGGAGTGACGGTGGTGGTATGTAAAGTGACAGAAGAGTCTTGTGTAAACAGGTCCTGATGATGTAAACAATCCATGCTTGATAACAAAGAGAAAAGAAGGATGACACAACCGCACACACGGGAATAAAAGATAAACTACCACCTCAAATCCCCGAATCATCCTGGAACGCATAAACGGGATCCGTCTCGTTCCTCGCACAACCCGCCTCACCACCGGGCCACCAGTTCTCGCAGTTCCCGTGCCACTCGTTCCACTTCCTGCACGTCTCTCTGGTCGCTTCAATAACAGGTGACGTCCCAAACGGCCACATCTCGTTCGCATCCTTCTGCCGCTCGAGAATCTGCATCGCCAGCCCCTCGGCCGCGTGAGTGGCGATGTGGCAGTGCAGGAGCCAGGAGCCGGGGTTATCCGTCTTGAAGGCTATCACGACGAAGCCGTTTTGGGGGAGGAGGACCACATCCCGCCTGGGCGGGTTATTGAAGTTGAGGGAGAGGTTGCCGTGGGTTAGGAAGGTGTTTTCTGCCTGTTGGAGGAGCGCGAAGTCGTGCCCGTGGAGGTGGATCTAATACGCATACAAATACATATACAAGGTTAGAAGGATTTTATGTTGGGATGTGGTGAAGGGATGGATCATGGACAGTAGAGAGAGATACATACCGGATGTGCGCCAACGTTGGTAACGTTGGTGCGTCCTGTGTCTCCTGCTATGGCCATGTATACCCAGTCGTCGTCGCCGTAGTTTTGTGGCGTGATGATCCATTTTTCTGGCCATTGGCCGCTCGTGTTGTTCAGGTGAAGCATGGTGGGGTCGTCGAAGTCGATTCGGAGGGGAGTGAAAGTCGCTCCGTAGGTGTTTGGGAGGAGACCCCAAGCTGCGATGGGACCGTACTCGGGTCTTCCGGTGATGTCGGTGTCTAATTTTACGCGGTGTTCCTCTCCGCCATTTGCTGGCCTTCCGACGTACCACGGGAGGACGGGAACCAAGCTGGTGTATGTCTCGTCTGAACATCTCAGTGACATTTTGTCCCATGGTTTTGTTTTGGGGGTATCAGTGCTGTTTTTGTTGTAGCGGAGGATTCCGTTTGTTTCGTATCCCGTCAGGCGTGTTGGAAAGGGGGGAGCTCTTGGGCAGGCGGCTGCGTAGCTTCTTATCCAGAAGTTGCCGTCTTCGGGAAGGGGTTGGGCTGATCCGTTGGCAATCGGGGCGGCTTCGACAATGATGTTGTAGCGTTGGCCGATTCCGACCAGGACTGAGGTGTTGGAGTAGGGGTAGACGGGGACAAAGTCTGAGCTGACGACGGTGAGGTGGTGGTTGTCGATGGAAAAGACAAATGTGGTCAGGAAGGATGTGTTGATGAGTCGAAGTAGATATTTCTTGGGTCTCGAATTTGGTTCATCTTCGGGGATCTCCTCAAAATGAAGCGTGTATGGCTCAGGGACTGGCTCGGTTGGAGTTTTGCCTGTTTGGCGAGTGAGGTTGCCGATACCGTTCAAAAGAATCGTCTCGTCTTTCATGCCCGGACCCCCGGGGTACACGGCCTCGAACCCGCTGTTATGGGCTGTTGAGACCAATGTTAGTATGATGTAGGCTGCCATGGCTACGTGTGTGGATGGTGATAACTTACCCCAGTCTGTAACCAGGAGAGGAATATCCGCAGCCTCGTCGTAGTTGCCAGAGCTTGGACCGTGGAGGGTGAGCGGTCCTACCAGTCCATCGGCGTACTGCATCGAGTAGTGGGAGTGATACCAGGTCGATCCGTACTGGACCGCCTTCCACTCGTAAACAAAAGAGTCTCCTGGAGCAATTGGACATTGTGTAATTCCATTGACGCCGTCCATGTGCATGGTCCGGTTCTGACGAATGCCATGCCAATGGATGCTGGTTCCGTTGTGCTTCATTTTGTTGATCACGTTAACCCGGACTGTATCACCCCAGCAGGCCTGAATCCAGGGGCCAGGATACTGGTCGTTGAAGACCTTGCCCTCTGGCATGGTGAGCCCATCTGCGTTGATTGGCTTGTCGGTGATCTCCAGGGTGTAATTTCGGAGGATTCCTTCAGGCGCAAAGTCTTCGTAGTTCGTTGACGTGTTGAAGAAGTTGCCGTTGTCGTCCGTGAGCCAGCAGTCACGACTCTCTGGGGTTGAGCAGAAACGCCAGCCTACCATGTTTGGGTAATCACATCGGAAGTCGGAGCCAGGGCCATCAATCGAGTGTCCGGGAGGACGAAACCTCGGTCCTTTGTCAACATTGTTACCAACATCGCTGGGTGTCTTGGGGGAGGAAAAGATGGGGACCTGTCTGTTGTCACTATATGGGTTAAACGAGTTCAGTGATGCGATGCTGAGGAGTTGAGTAACGGCCGTCCAAATACGCTCAGTGAGCGTCATGTTGGGCAGCAGTCTAGGAAGACAGGATTATGAGTTTCACAAAGCAGCGACCACAGGCATATGTTCCAGAGATATTGAAGTTATATATACGGATGCGTATCTCGTATTCTATCCGCCATTTTGATCCTCTCAACTCACCGAAAGAACACAAAGGCTAGTATCATTGGCAGTCGGCCCGAGTAAGCCTGCGCCTCGACGTTTGATGTAAGCCGGATTCCGAGCTCTGAGTTGAGGGCAGGCCGCACCATTGGTCCAACACGATAACTGTGTAACGATCTAGCTCACAAGGGCTGACGGACCCCCAAACACAGGTACGCTATTCGAGAGTGACTTCCTCGGATTAACGGGAACGTGACGTATCGCCAACTTCTCAAGTCGTTCCTTTTTATTTCTGCCTTTCAACCATGGTTACGCAAGGAATGTAGGTAGCATTGTCTCACTTCCCCCACGCAATGGAGAAAAAACATCCTTCTGTTCTTGGTTAGTCGTAGGATCAAGACACCACACCCTCGGGTTCAATAATCGTGATCTGATGCTTGTTTCGGGTATTTCGGCTCAAGCTCATGACGTCGTTTTTAGCGGTCTCAAAGGTGGACTCTTAGGGCGTCCTACAAACCTCGTTATTAAGCTAAGATACCACAAGACCGAGGTTCCCTCCTCTCTTGGCGTTCTGGTATCATAGACTGCTGTGTGATGTTCCCAGTTCAGCTTAGTAAACAACCCTACTACAGGTAGTTTCAAATGTGGTTGAAATGCTTTTGATATAGAGCATCGGCGACCTCGAAGATTTTTCTTTCCTCAAAATATCACCAGATTTGCCCTGCAAGCTTGGGCATAATTTTCTCAAGCCATATTCTGATGCTGTTATCATGGTGCTAGAACGTCTCGTTGACAAGCTTCGTATCATCGAGGCAAGGTGCAGCCAACCGGCCGTCTTGCAAGGAGTTCTGATAGGTGAAAAAGTGAGGAAACTGAAAGGAATTTCGAGAAGAAATTCAGCATCAACCCCCGGCACCGGTAAGCTTTATTCGTCTTTATCTGAGGTACCTATCAAAGTTGAGATCAGTTTTCCTGTTGCTGGGATCAATTATCAAAAGGCCCTGCGAGAAGGAACTTTGAGCTTCGTCCATTGAAGGTGAAGCATGAGAGTGAACAAAAAGAGGGACTACGTTGATGCCTTTATCCCGCATAGAACAAACATCTTAGTATTACGGCGTTAAAATTCAGTGGCTCTGTCAGTCATCAACATGAATGAATGGCAGCCTGGAACCTGAGGCTACAGTCCGATACCATTATTGACAGCCTTTGGCAGAGATTCGTGGCATGTAACTGGTCAGTTCCACTTACACTGACTGCTGCACTCCAAATTCCAAAGAGGGGGGGGGGGGGGGGAGAAGAAAAAAAGAAGAAAAACAGACACCTTTTTCGACTCTGCAATTTTGCGACTCACTGTCCTAATGCTTTTCATCCGAACCTCACTTAGCTGGCAAACCGAATGCAGCAATTTCTCTCCCCCCTCCCTGCAGCTGCTCACCCATGGCATCTCCAAAACAATTCCATCTAAAACCCCAGCCCGCCTCCTAATACTATCAACAAACCCTCATCCATCATGGTAACGTCCCCCAGTCGCCCCTCCACCTTCTCCCTCACCTGCCTACTTAATCGATCCAATCCCACCATGGAGTCCCAAATTAACCACCCCGCCGTCCAGCCTCAATTATCCGACACCTCCGTCGCCGCCATAGTCGTCGTCGTCCTGGCCCTCTGCACAACAACAGTAGCAGTAACCTACGCCGTCGCCATCAATCGACGCCGCCGCTCAACAGCAACAACAACCACAATGACGACCATGGGCCAGATGGAAGCCGCCCGCTTCCGCCAGCACCTCCAACAGCACGACCACGACCACTACTACCACACCAGCATTCCCCTCAGCAACCTCTCCCGAACCTCCATCGTCGCTACCCACGGTAGCACCAGTAGTAACAACAGTTTACCCCTCCGCCGCCAGCGGGAGAGAACCGCCGAATCCTCATCTCCTTCAGCACAACCATCCACCTACAGTCCTCTCAACACCGCTCTCACAGTCGCTGCCCCACGACCTATCCCGAGCCGGCTCGCTTCCGCCCAGTCCACCCGCACGGCAGCAAGTCGCTCAACCTTGGACATGATCCCCGAGGCGAGATCGTCAATCACGGTCGATGCCACCTCGAACGGCGGCAGGAGGACTGGTTCGGCTGAATCATCTGCCAGGATCAGTCTTACGCCCGATTCGAGCGCTGATAATCTGACAATCATTATTCGTACCGGTCTGAGGGATGATCACTCAAACACAGACGACGAGGATAAAAATGTCAATCGCCCTTCGTTCGAGGTCGAGGTTCAACGGCCCGGGGAGCCGACAAAGATTTATCACAAGTAGA